TGTATCTTCGTATCACGCCTTGACTATCACCATTCTTTTCTCGTTTATTTAAATGTAGTGTGGTGTGCCCTTTTGAGCAGCTCTGATAAGAACCCTCCACACTCTGCCCTGGCGTTCTCAACCCCCTTCACTCTTATGCTGGGAATGTTAATCAGAGTCTGCCCTATTGTTACGCAGTGCTCCTTACCTAGGTCTTATCAGTCTCTCTCTTGCCGCGTAGGATCCGTATGCTATCTCTCTGGTTCAAGTATTTCACTCGACCCCTGCCACTCCATCTGTGCTCCACGAGGCGTTATTTCTCACACTATGTCTGCTAGACTAGGCTAAAGACCCCGAGTAAGTCTCATGGTCAAACCTTTGCTAAATGGACCACGTCTATGGTAAAACAGGCCTAGCTCAGTATATCGACAGACTCTCAAATCTTGCGTTTTCTCGTATTTTCACTATATGCAGCCAGCATTTCGGTCGATTTCGTCTATTGGTTCGTGCAATGTGTTCTGCTAATTCGAATTTTTCCGTATCCATGTTCCTACAGAGTCCTTAATGTTCCTTGATTTGTAGACCGATTTTTCTTCCTGTCTCATCGATATACTTTGCTCATATTTGCGGCATTTGATGCGATAAACTCCCAAGCAATCAAGTTTGTAAGTCTTCTAGTGTTGTATCGGCAGCCTGGTGAAAAAGGTTTTCTTTTCATTTTTTATCACCTTGATATCGCATTTCCTTATTATTGGTCGCAATTTTTGGCTCAGTTTTGATGAGGGTAGGCAAATTCACTTTTGGTGGTCCTCCTGATTCCTGTTTTCTGATCTGATTTTCATAAAGTCGAAGTTAAAATCTGTCTTATAGGCCTACATTTTTTTTCTATATATTCTCTGGGGTACCCATTACTAAGGCAAATCAGTGTCAGTTTATCCGACTCCTCGTCCCAGAACTCAGTGTCTGTTAGTCGTAAACTTCTAATGATAAAACTCCTCAATATTCCGATCTTCATTTTGTAGTTATGGTGAGATTGAATAGTAAGGATTATTCCCGCATATGAATGCCTTTTGTTTAGTCTCCTCAGTGTCTCGTTGGAGAGCATGACTTCAACAATTGTTTATCTTTCTCAACCTCCATAGTGAATTTAATTCTTTCATCAAGTTGGTTAAGGAAATTGAGGAATTAATTTAGATTTTCCTTACCATGTGACCAAAGTGCAAGGTAGTCATCCAAGTATCGCATAAGAACTCTTGGTTGCAGTGGTGACTTACCAAATTCCCTTTCCAACTTCTCCATGTACACATTTGCCAAAAGAGGTGAGAGTGAAGATCCCACATATTTGCTCGTAGATAATGCCGTTGGATGTAAAATATGTGATCCTTACTGTCAAGTTAATCAGTCGTGTTAATGTCTTCTTCCGTATCCGTTCTGCCTTTATGATATCCTCTCGCTCCAATATCTATGGCAATACGCTCACCGCCTTCTCACCTGAGATGTTTGTGTACATGTATTGTAGATCGAAACTCACCAACAGTTCAGTCTCAACCAGCCCAATGTTCTGGATCCTTTGAGAAAATTCATATGAATTCTTAACGGTCTTTGAGAGTCTGCCATTTACTTTCGTAAACTTCAAGAAAATGAATTTCGCTAGTTTGTGTATTGCTCCATGCTTGTTGTTGACTATTACTCTTAGCGAATTTCCTACCTTGTGTATCTTCGGCAGTCCATAGGCTGTCAATGGTCTTGCGTCATTTTTGATTAAAGATTTCATCATCCATCTATCAATTTCCCCGTTATTATGCATTTCCTTTAGCATATTCTTCAGTGTTCCGTTGATCTTCATGGTTGGATCCTTCCTTAGTATTTAATAAATGTTCCGGTCGCCTAGGATACTCTCCATTTTCTCCGTGTAAAGTTTCCTGTCCATTACAACCGTCGCTCCTCCCTTATCCGCTTGAAAAGCTATTTTATCATTCTTTTATAACTTTTTCCCTATACCAGTCAATCTGATCCTGTGTAACGGTTCTTGATGTGTCAGGACCTGTGGGATTATTTCCAGTTCCATCTCCCGCTTTCTGTTCTGGATATTTATCCGTTATATTGACAACCTACACCAGAATATCACTAAGAGCGTTTCCTTGATTACCTAGGGAAAGATGTAACCCTTTCTTTAAGAGATTCATAATTTCGGAATCAAGAGGGGCTGGAGATCCGTTTACCCCCTTAGCCCTATCGTCGTCTTGGTCTTGATATCCGCAAAATTTTATGTTTACTCTCCCATGGAACGGCCTGTCAACTGCTGACAAAGTTGAATACACGTAAATTCCCAAATTTACTGACACTTCAAAATCTTATCCACACAATATGGAAAGGCCAAAAAATGGGATTATCGATGTTTGGCACAAAAATTTGTGAACAAAGTTAAATTCGAGAAACGATGATAACAATCAACCTATTAATTTAGAACACCAGTGAATATGACGTTATGGACACGGAAAAATTGGAAATAGCAGAACACATCGTACTGACCGGCCATAATATCAATTTGATAGCAACTGACAGATTGGCCTCATAAGTTGAGAATATAAGAGTATGGAAAATCAGTTAAGCCAAGAATATCCTTTCTCAAAGAAGCGTATTCAACAGAAGACTGGAAAAGAAAAGGCTTCGCTACAATTTCGCTCACTATTTAGGCCAACTTGGAGAAAATCAGAATTCAAGAATTACGGCATAAAGAAACGCCTTTATCAAAGAACTCCTTCGAACAATAGGAAGAAAATCACGACGAATTTGCCGGCGTGGGCCCATCTCGGGACAAAGCTCTGAGTGATCACAAACGTCTGAATAGCGTATTATTAGGGTCGCCAGCTTTTGCAGTATATGAGTCCAATGAGGCGAATCCATGATGATGAGGCTGTGTCACACATGTTTTCTCATATTTTATATGCCATTGTGCATGAATTCTCTGTTATGACGTAAACAGTGATCCAAATCGAGGAATTATGGTCAATTAGTTAGATAAGACTGGTTTTCAATATGTGGCGAGTAACAGCTCACAGAAGTTGGATGGCTGAGTGAAAATGCTAATTGGGATCAAGAAGTTATGCAGATGGCGGCATCCGATATTTGTGGTGTAGGTGAGAATGCTTTACTATATCCTTTTGAAGTGATATACCATTTAACAAGCCAAGATGCAGAAAGGAGTGTTTGATTAATTTGCCTTGTGAGATGAGGTTTTTGCACTTGGGGCTGAGGCAGCAGGTAACGAGATATGCCAGAAAGGTTTAAAGAAAAATTAGTCAAGAGGATTGCCTTCACACTTATCACCAACAGGCTGTAACTTGGTCCTAAAGATTGCGCTTCTTACGATACTGACAGAAACATCTGGGAATGTAGCAAATCAATGGTGTGATAATGGAAATAATCATCACTATGTTAGAGAACTCAGGACTAAGTATCTTTTACGATGTCTCCATCACCCTGATCAAGTTGCGAAAATGAAACCAAGCCAATGTCGATCGACTTTTTATGTTTTTAGAAATACTATTCGAAAGTAGCTTTACTTGAAATACCTGAATTTTTACGACAGGACCTAAATGTGAATGACAGTTTTCATTTAATCTATCTTTCTTTTATTAGCGGTTAGAGACTTTTCTCTTACTCCAACCAAATTTAGGCTAAATGAGGCCTTTCTTTACATAAAATTCCCCAGACATTACTTCTACTATTTTTGCATATTATAACTCATCTATTTTTTACAAGACTATTTTTCTCTATATAGGTTTTCCATCTACTACTGTACCTTCGATATCTGCTCTATTCTCAGTAATTCAAATATCTCTTAACTCGGTATCAGTCAATAAGATAATAACCTTGATATCATTTACATAAGTCTACAACTACTTATTTTATCTTATTTTTTAACTCCTTTCGTTATCTCAGGAACTTGATATTATCTGCAAAATTCCACATTGTGTTCCTATATCAGCTCATCGGAAATGGAATTTTGACGATCTCCTGGAGAAAATATGGGACTATTTAAACCTAATAAGAGTTTACACGAAGCCTAAAGGTCAACTCCCGGACTATACCTCTCCGATAGTCCTCAAATCGAGTGCACATACAATTGAAGACTTGTGTAACAAACTTCACAGAAGCATCATGAGAGAATTTAAATAGTGAGCAAATGGAGAACCTTTTGTTATTTTATCCATATTTCTCAGGGACTTGGTATTCCTTCAGCTATCTGATGCTCTAATTGCAATTTAACTTAGTGCATTTATCGAAGCTATAAAGACCAAGATGGTGTGGCCTTTTGTGTGGTCGCAGTCTCCTTTCGTTGTATAGAAGTTGTTTGACCTTGCCAACTTGGTCATATTGGTAGGAAGACTAAAAGGAACACACCTAGTCCGGAGTCCATTGTACGTATGATAATTTCCAAATTCGGACCATGGACGTGGTACATTCCTAGACGTTTCGCTAGCATCGTCAGTGAGTCTCGTCATTCTTAGCTCGATACTACAACTCATCAAAAATACAAGTGCCTTTCTACTTAGTCTATTCTTAATTGGCCCTTGTATTGAAACTTTTTTAATGTAGTCTTTTGCGGGTAATTCTATTTCTCGATTTGATTTTATGTTCGGAATTGACTAACTCGGGCATATTTTTAATAAAAACTGTCCACCCTATTTCGTTTAAAGTAATGTAAGACTGTTTATGGAATTTTCCCACAATCAT